CTTAAGGTGGACTTAAATAGGCTTTGAGAGAAATTTATTTCCCTTTCTTAGAAGGATCTAATTTCCAATTAAAGAGGGAATTTACATCAAAATAGGAAGCAATCCTACATTTCCTATAGCAAGAAGATCTCTACACCTGCTACCCTTCCCTGCATACAGCCCAGCAGGTGTGGGGGCATTTGTGGAGCCAAAAATAATCACAAGGCGACACGTGAATTTTTGGATAAAAGATGACAAAAATACCCTTGAGGCATATCGGGATTTATACGCGCGAGCAGCAGACAATCATCCCTCAACCAAGTCAAAAGTGCCCAAAATAGGTAACAATTCAAAACCTATTTCATTCATCCTCATCAAATCCCTTCTACAAGGTAACTCCCAAAACCTATTTCATTCCATATATTTTCTACCTCATTTTCCCTTTTTTAGCTAATCAATTAGGTAATTATTTTATTAATTAGCTAATTGATTAGATAATTATTCCATAACCCCAAATTATTTCTTTCAAACTATGTTAATTGGTCAATTAATGGATTTATTACCTAATTAATCTATTAATGGCTAATTAGCTACAAATTACACCCAAAAAATACCCCAAATGGCTTATCCCTATTCTCCTAATAGGGCCGGCCATATCCCTATAAATAGCTCTCCATTCTCTCCAAAAACTACTTCCAACTCTCTTGCTAAAATTCTCTAGAATTCTCAAATAATTTCTCTCTAAATTCTAACTTTGGCATCAGAGGTTTTTCAGTTAAAGCTAACCAAAGGTGTTAATTGTTTTGTAGGTGTAATTTTGTCCAAGATCAAGGAGGAAGAAATTTGCATCCACAATAGCAACACAAAAAAAAGCCCAACATAAACTTTGGTGCCCCAAACAGAAAAACACAAAACCAGAAAACCCTAGCAGCTGGTTCCCTCTGCTGTTGTCGGAGCACCAACCATCCACCACGAACCAGCTACCCTTGCAGACGCCAAAGATCCAACAGGACAATGCCCTAGAAATGAAAAGAAGAAGACTCCATCTACCTGCAACAAGAACCACAAATATCCAAATCGCAACCACCAAGGAAAGGAAGCCAGTGGGAAATTCCACTTAGATTGGTTGCTAGATTGACAACCACTTATTAATCTTCAGTGATTTTTGGTTTGCAACTGCAGAATCAATTTGGAATGTCCTAAATGTTGCCCAAGCTTTTAGAAGACGGATCAACCCAATGTGTCCCAGATTCAAACTCTTACCCTCATTCCCTTAGTGTAGATTAGGGTAGAATATCACTTATATTAAAAAAATTAAAAAAGTACAATTAACTCGTTGTATACTGACACTCATTTTCAAGTGGTTTGAGCATAAATACCCTAGCAAAAATCTCAGAGAGCAGTAACATCAACATTTTATGTATGACTTTTTTTCTGAGCACCCCATATAATGTTAAATACACCCAAATTACTTTTAACCTATATAACCCAAGATTATTTATCTTCTTCAACTCTCAAAATCCCTCTCATCCTCCATGGTGGTGGTGATTCCAACTTTTAAGTTTCCCTTGAGTGGAAAATTTTCCAACCCCATTAAGTGTTACAACAACTGTAAACAGGTTGCTAATTCTGCAGTGAGTTTGAACAAACAAAGTTGAAATTGAAGAACAATAGAAAAGTTTGTTTTAGCCAGTCGGACTAAAATGAAAAGTTATATAAATTTTTTCTTACACACTTTTAAGTACACTATCGACCCAAAAATAAGCCATTAACTGTATTGCCTCAGCTTTTAGAAGAAAATTATAATTAATAAGCATTATCTTAAGAGACTAACATAAATGATCAGAAATTTTAAACATGCAGAATATTTATGGTGTTTTTGTACCATAGGTTTCACTTATTACCTTTGTTTGTACCATACTTGACCAATCCCGAAACTACCGAGCACCGGCCAATGCTATACTGTCAAGGACCCAGAAGAGTTCCCCTCCGACCAGGAGGCCAATCACTACTCGACACGTGTCAAGATTAGAAGCCAATCAGAGCGCAGCACGTGTCGACATCAAGAACCAATCATAACATGACACATGTCAATGTGACAAAGCTACAAGTTTTTCTATAAATAGGGGTCATTCCCCCACAATATTGCCTAATGCCATTTGTGTTAAATCATTCACAAGAACTCACTAAATTGAGAGCTTGATCCTTTGTACTTGTATAAGCCCTTCACTACTAATAAGAACTCCTCTACTCCGTGGACGTAGCCAATCTGGGTGAACCACGTACATCCTGTGTTTGCTTCTCTGTCTCTATTCATTTACGTACTTATCCTCACTAGTGACCGAAGCAACCAAGCGAAGGTCACAAAACCTGACACTTTCTGTTGTACCAAAGTCTTCGCTGATTTTGTGCATCAACAACCTTCATTGTTTTCTTTCTTGATAAAAGCGATATTGGGAAAGAGGTGAATTGAACTCACAAACTCGGGTGCAAGATGCATTCTCTGAAATGATCAAATACAAGTAACAAGTAACAAGATGCATTGTTACTGGTTTATTGTAAAATACTACAAATTCAACAACTATTGTAGCTGGTTAACTTCAAATGAATAGAAGAAGGATACTTCCATGGTCTTTCACTTGCACCTAAGATGTGAAGAGTGTGGGATGCATGTAAAAAATGTGGGGTGTAGAATATAAGGTTAACGTTGAGACTATGAGGTGTGAGGGTATTATGGGAAAATAAATGAAGTGTATTCAACAATACGTGGGTACCTCGTGAAACCTCAATTCAAAAATCCACTCCAATCCATCAACACTCTCAATGGCGCTGGTGGAGGTCTCGTCGTCCGTCGAAGCGGGCATCGGCATCAGCATCGGCTACTGGTAAGATCACCTCCTTTCTTATGCGCTCAACCTATTTATTGAATTGCCTTAATTGATAAAAAACTTGCATTTTTATTGAATTTTGGGATTTCTTGCAATTTTATTGAATTTTGGGAGTTTTGATGTGCAGCCGCAATAAGCCACTGAAACCTAAGGAAAAATATTATAGGATGGCAATAAGGCTAGCTATGTTGTATGGCACAGAAAGTTGGGCGGTGAAACATCAACGCGTACATAAAATGGGTGTAGCGGAGATGAGGATGCTTCATTGGATATGTGGGCACACGAGAATAGATAAGATTATGAATGAGGATATCTGAGGTAAAGTAGGAGTAGCCGAAATTGAAGGAAAGATGAGAGAAAATCGGTTACGGTGGTTTGGACATGTGCAACGAAGTCCTACTTACTCTTTTGTTAGAAGATGCGACTACAGGACAGAGGTATAGGGCCGAATGCATAGACGAAGACCTAGGAAGACTTTGGAAGAGACTCTAAGAAAAGACTTTGGGTACTTGGATCTAACGGAGGACATGACACAGAACCGAGCACAATGGCCTTCTATGATTCATATAGTCAACCCGACTTAGTGGGAAAAGACTTTATTGTTGTTGTTGTGATGTGCAGCCGCAAGTTGATGTCAGGAGCTTCCCAGAAGAACCAATCAATCCGCTCACTGCAAACCGTGAAGGCTCGTACATTGTTGGCGGAGGCTCATCGGGGAATATCTACTTGTGGGAGGTTAATTTTCCTAATCATTTTTCTTTATTTCTTTGAATTTATCTTTCTTGGGCTCTGAAATGCTAATAAGCATTTTTTTTTTTTTTTTGTATTTATTTAGGTTAATGCTGGTAGACTGCTTAAGAAATGGCATGCTCACTACAGAGGTGTTAGTTGCTTGGTATTCTCGGATGATGGCTCCCTGCTGATTTCGGGGTCGGAGGATGGAGGCATTAGAATTTGGTCTCTTATAGGGTAACCACTTCTTATCTAATATTTTTGTATCTTTATATTGTTTTTAATTATGCACTGAAAACAGTTATATCTCTATCTGTTGAATCTCACAGATTATTCGATGATGATCAAAGTCAACAGGAAAGCCATCTGTACATGCATAACTTTACGGAGCACACTCGGTTTAACGGCTGTTGTCGTAGGATATGGTGGATGCAAAGCCATTATCGTGTTAGCATCTCAGGATCGCACGTGTAAGGTATGGCGTGGTCTTTAGTAAATTATAAACAGTATTTGGTACTCAACAATGATGACAAGGGTAATTAATGGGGTCTGGGTACTATGGGAGAAAACTATTCATGAATTTACCATCCACGTGTGGATTGTTTGTCTTGACTTGTAGATCTGTTGCTTTCTCAAATGCTCAGATTTATTTTCTCGGTTTTTTGTAGCATGTATTCCTTTTAAGTCCCTCAATATCTATTACATGTCTTTTGCCTGTTATGTACTGATGCACTCTTATTCATCCCCAATAAACAAAAAAGAAATGCATTCTTGAAATTGCACGTGTATTATAGTTTTGATTTGGATGTACATTTCTTAGGTTTGGAGCGTAGGAAGTGGGAGATTGTTGAGAAATATTGTTTTCCCTACTATAATTGATGCGGTTGCACTGGATCCTGGTGAAAATGTCTTCTTTGCCGGTGGTAGACCGTAGAGATGTCAAGATATACGTTGCTGCACTTAATGCTAGAGCCCACTTAACAGCAAGTATGGTTCCATATCATCGATTGTTTCTCGAATCACAGGTTTCTCTCATTTCTTATAGGAACCTTTTGATGAACTTACTGATATTTCAGTTTGCTGTTTTATTTGGTATTCAGATGAGTTTTCTTCAGTTAAGACTTCTCTAATTTTTAACTCTGTATTTTCGTATTTCAAAGTATAACTGCCAAAGATTGTTGCACGTTTTAAGAACCCTGCATTCTTCATTTAGTTATGATAGACAGGCTTTGCATTCTGGTGAACTGAATCGAGGAACATTCATTTTAGTATATTTTGAATAAGTAGAACTCTTTTAACTGACAATTTTATACTTTTTGAACAGCAAAGCTGTTGCTTAGCATATGGCATTTCTGGGAATTATTTGATTTCTGGATCCGAAGATGGCATGGTTCAAGTTTGGGATGCTATTTGAATTATTTCCTTCCCCGGGTTTATGCAAATTTGATGATATTAAAGCAAATTTAGTGCTAATGAGTGTACCACTATTTCATAAATAATAGAGTATATATTCGAATATCTCAGTTGTTAAGTTCAATCTGCCAAACTTTACTAATTTGTTTAGTATATACATAAAATTTGCACACCACAGGTCCAGTGAATAATATTCTAGTCGTTCGACAGCATTTTTCTGAGAAATATAGTGAAGACCTCAAACAAGTCTGGAGCTCTTTGCATTATAATGTACACACATACACACACAATTAATGTGCCTATGTCTAGACGATCTTCATTCTGCCCGAAAGCAATGGAAAAGACGACTCCGATGAAATCTGTAATGCAGCAGCCAACCACCGGTTCTAGTAATGCATGCAGCTTTGTCTCCCTTTCCATCTCACTTCCTCTAAAGCGAAAATGCGTGAGCCCTGCGTCCATTAGCAGCACTTGCAACAGTTAGGCAGGTAGGATTGACGAAAAAAACTTGAAAAGGTCAACGAAACGTGCATGCATAAACTAAACACCCCAATTAATTTTGATATTGGGAGAGGAGGAATCGACCTGGGGACCTGGAATATGGCCTTTACCCTTGCAACATTATAAATTGTTACTTTCTTGCATATAGTTTCTGGAGATTTTAAAAATAAAATAAAACTAGATTTTGCAAATCACAAAACTAGGAGAGGGAAAATTGAACTCGGGACCTGGAATATGGTCTTAAACCGAGTTACAAGTCCCTTGCAACCTTAGATATAATAACTTGTCTAGTTGGAACATGGGATCTTGTCATTTGGCATGGGATCTTGTCATTTGGCAAGTATAATAAAAGCTCAACCCTGAAATTAGCGCATTGATGTAAAATGAATAGAGTGAGTTAGTAAATAAATAGAAAAGAGCTTAATTACCCGAAGTGGAAGGCCTCTCATGCAACTAAACATCATCCTCTGCTTCGACTATGCCTTCGCCCTCATCATCAAAATCAGAATCAGAATATTCAGGCATGATTGTGATATTGGGGATGTGAGAAATCTTGGGCCACTCCTTTCCTCTGCCTTTTCCGCAACATCGTGCAAGACTAGAAGAGTCCTTGATGTTAAGTGTCTGAAGTGGTGTTTTCCGCAAGAAGTCTGGTAATGTTTTTAGCTGACTGCAGCCCCAAAACTGTAAAAAAGAAAGGCATGGCATTATGGTGATATCCCAATCCTCTTCCTTCCACTCTTCCACTCCTTTCCACTCTTCCCACGCTCCCATGGAGTAAAATTCGAGTGCTTTCAATTTTGGGAATAGAGTAATGCATGATGATGCTGATGACATTTCCTTTTCTATTCCCATAAACTCAACTCCAACCTTTTTTACTCCTTTCATATCAATAAGCGACAGTTTTACGAGGGACGGCAATTTTCCCAAAGGAGGTAAAACTTCACATTCTTCCCAATCAGAAAGTAGAAGATATCTCAAATTGTTTAATGACATGATCCAGTTAGGGGCACTGCTTCCATTATGCCCTCTAATATCTAAAGATTCCAAATTTGGATGCGGTTGTAAGAAATTCAGTATTTCTGCACTTCTTCTCTCCTCATCTTCCCAATGAAAAGATATAATCAATTTTGAGAGTTGATGTTTGTTCCCCAGGGGTGATGCTTTCTCACCCTCACCCGCAGCAATTTTCACATCCCCATGAATTACTATCCAAAGTTCACAAAGTTGGTCTAAGTTTCTCAAATCTCCTAATTTGAACGCTTCATCGTCGTCTTTACCACCGCCAACAGGGCACTGATCTAATCCTCTTAGATTTGTTAATCTCTCAATCCCTTTCGGCAAGTACTTCAGCTTAAAGCAACCCCAAGCATAAAGATGCTTTAAGTTAATCAACTTTCCCATGCTCTGAGGTAGACTTTCAAGTTTCTCACACCTAATAAGGCGCAATGTCTGCAAATTGTATAAATTACACACCGCCTTGGGTAGCTTTTTCAAACCATAATTTTTAGACAAATCAATGAACCTCAGATGCACCAATTCACCTATCTCTTCCAGAAGCTCTTCAATACAATTACCACTCAAATTCAATGTCCTAAGATGTTTCAACTGCAATATCAAAGTTGAGTCCACAACATTAAATTTTGAATCAAAAGTTGCAAGAGTACGCAGATCTTTTGCAACCGGAAAACGAAACACATGAGAGTGGACCTTCAGGTGCAAGCACTAAGGTCAAATGGCTAATCTTATCACTCAAGGTCTCTGTTGTATAGTTACCACCCTTAACCTCCATTGTAAAGCATTCGTTTTGATTAAGAAACAGTAGAAAGTCGTGCACAATATCATGCATTTTACACTTCCAGATATTTCCAACGTCGTCTTCTTCAAAGTCTTGGAAGAAAGATCGCATTATTAAATTATCAAAAAGCCTTTGGCCAATTATTTTCTTCTCTATGTTTCCTTTTGAATAGAGATAATCTTGTGACATCCATAACTCAATCAAATGATCTTTATCAATCTGATGATCTTTTGGAAAAATAGCACAATATAAAAGGCATCGTTTGACCGCAGGTGCCAAATCAAAATAACTCGATAATAGCGGTTGGAAAACTTGTTGCTCAACCTCTTCTAGCTCCCATATCTTACTGTTCAAAACTTCTTGCCATTCTTTCCTCGTTTGCTTATAACGCATGAGACTGCCCAGAATCTTTGCAGCAAGAGGCAAACCCTTGCACTTTTTTGCAATTTCTTCACCAATGGCTCTCAACACACTATCATTTTCCCTATTAAAAAATGCCATGCAGTTGAATATTGACAAACAATTTTGTTCACTCAACCTCTCCAAATGGATCATGTGAGTGGTAGCTCCCATCATAACAGCAACCTCTTGTTTTCGAGTTGTCACCAATATTCTACTGCCACGGGCGCCACTTTGTATTAATGGCAACTTCAATTTCTCCCACTTTCTTTGGTCTTCAGTCCACACATCGTCTAGGACAAGGAGAAACTTCTTTCCCTTAATGGATTCAGACATACACTGAAACAAATCTTGCAAAGTAGTTGAATTTGGGCTGACACCTTTGGCGCCAGAAATGATGGCTTTGGCAGTTTTGATCTCATCAAAAGGGTCCGAAACACAAACCCATATTTTGATATCAAAACAAGCTTTAACATTTTCATCGTTAAAAGCCAATTGAGCCAGAGTTGTTTTTCCCATTCCTCCCATCCCAACAATAGGGATGACAAGGAGACCGCTCGCTTCTGGACTACTCTCGTTCAACAACTAGCTAACCAAAACTTCCTTTTGTTCTTCTCTACCAAATATGATAGATGCATCAACAAAAGAAGTAGTTTCGTCTCGCTCAGGTTGTTCAATGATCACTCTCTCTGTGAATCGAAAGTTATATCTTCCTCTTTGCTTAGCAATCACATCTAAATTTTCATTCGGACTTTTGATCTTAAGAGCAATGTCACGACGAAGAATTACCCGAACCAAAAGCAAGAGGAGGGAATAGAGAAACATACCGCCTTCTTCTTCTTCTTCTTATTAACAAGAGAAGTACTTCCACCGTGCTCTTCTTCTTTCTCAACTTGTTGTTTCAGTATTTCAGTCTTCCACTCATCCAGCACATTGTCCATCTTGTACGACACATCTTTCAGCTTCTCCAGCCAATTTCTGACGCTGGCCTCCTTCACTTGCCTCTGCTCCGCACCCTCAAGCACAGCACCAATCGCTTCAAGGTTGGCAGCAAATGCATCAACATCTTTTTTAGCATTCAAAACCAGCTTCACCTCTTCTCCGACTTGTTGGTACGTTACCGAAGCCAGTTGTTCGAGAAGCACGGAAATGAGTGCCTCGGCCATTTTTCGGTTACTAGTGGAAACAGAGAAAACCAAGAGATCTGAACCAAGAATTTCAGGATTGGTATGGTAATAGTATTACCGTTCTGGTAGCCAAACGTTGAGATTAGAATATGGGCGTGTTAGACAAATAATAATGGTAGGGGAAGAGGTGAGTTATCCCTCACTTGTTGAACAATTATTCTCTTTTCTTCTTTATACAATTGCACTCAGGAAGAAAGCACGAATCTTTGTCTCAAAAGTTAGATAGACAATTCACACAAAGAATTTTAGAATTGGGTGGCGTGGAAGAAACAATTGTTGATTTCGTTGGCTTTCTTCGACTCGCGAAGGAGAAAATTAAGAGTCGATTTGAGATAGGATTCCATGGCTATGGTCTCCAAGGTCGACGGGTGAGTGGGAAAGAGGGCTAGAGGGATTCCATGACTAAATGAAGTTGCTTTTCTTTACAGTATAGAATTCGTCTATGTGCTGGTTATAAGCAGTTGTACATGCACAAGTAATTAAGTAATAGAGATGATGCTTTCACTATGATACAATGTTATTGAGCAGTTGAAATTGTGTTGAATAATGTTGAAATTGCATTTAAGGATTTGCATTTTACATGATGTTGTATAAGTTTGGTTGGTTGTCTCTCATTTTGACAAGGAATCTTTGAATAGTTTGGTTGGTAGCCTTTAGACAAGATCTTTGATGGCAAGGATATGCTGACGAAATCTTTTATGGAAAAAATTTATCTTTACCGAAGAAGTTTGATCTTTCGTGACAAAAAATTTGCCTGGATAGTCATCTGGAAAGCCTTTTTTTAGTTTTTTGTTTTTTGTTTTGTTTTTTTTTTTTTTTTTTTTGTAGTACATCAATATCCTTAAGTTGGAGCTAGTGCAACTTTTCGAAAGCCCAGCTTAAGGAGGCAAATTTGAGCCCAGTAAATCAGGCCTAGGACATGTCGAAAGAATAGGCTACTCTGATACCACGATAAACTTTAAAGGTCCACCACTAATATCATCAATGTTGTCTCTATTTAACTACCTATTGCTATGTGTTAAGTTTTATTAACAAATGCCTCGATGATAATAGGGGTGAAAACTCTCATTTATTAATTGTATATTATTGTATTATATGATTGAAATGAAATCCAATTCTCTAACCAACACTACGATACATTGTCAATCACAATGTAGTGTTTATAGGAAGTATGTTGGCGAAACGTTCAACAAAATGTATTTTCTTACAAAGGTTGAATCATATATATAAGCTCATCACAACTCTTTAGTACAAGTGTAAAACTTCTTCCATATGAATACAACGTTGTGTTAACATAATCATATCTAACATTTTTAATTTCTTAATTTCTATAGTTGTATGTATTCTTACAACCTCTAATCTATTTGATCCTATTATGCATTGAGATAACATGTACTTATATATATATATATATGTACACACACACCCATACAATATTCACATTGAACTCGTTGATATATTTGTAATCTTTGTCAGAGACTAAATGGTACTCTAAATATATTTTAACACTCTTAATTTCTTATTCATCCAAATGAGAAGAATAATGGAAAGAAATTAGAGATCTAGAGAGAGAATCACTAGTTAGGGATGAATATAGCCAAATTTTGAACCCCAACTATCACGGTATTCGATCAAATACTAAACAGATTCTAAGTTGCAAAGAACGACCATCCAGATATTGAAAATGAGACAAATATCTGGTTTTAACAAAACAATAAGGTACAATATGAAACAATACATATCACTATTTGAAAAATATCATGAAATCGCAGTTGATCTTTCCTCCTTTTTTTTTTCTTTTATTACAAGTGGTCTTTTGAACTCGAAACGTAATAAGTTGAATCTAATGACCCCATGATGGCTCCACTACCAATGACTCTATGATGGCTCCACCACTAACTATCGCACAACTAATAAAGAAATTATGGAAAATGCTGAGAAGGTGCGACTGACGATTACGTGAAAAATTTCGCCAGAAATACATGCATGCCATGTGCAGCAAACACGTTGAATTTGTTATAGCCTTTTGGTCCACTCTATAATAAAGGAAGGATGCTTCAAACTTCTCTTCATGCGCCCTTGAATCAAAAGGAACACATGACATAATCAATGGAAGAGTTTGAAAAACCCTATCTATAACTCAAACGTGAAATTTAAGAACAAAAACGTTATTTTTGTTAAAAAATGCGAGATGTTGTACATATAAAACATGATCAAAAGAACAAGAAATTCAGACAGTTCTTTCATCGACAAATTCATTCATCCATACAAACAAATCACCAAATGAGCAAGCCTAGGCGCCAAGTTGGCGAGAGCCACTTACTTCTCTGCATTCAAATTCAAATTCATTTCTCCTTAGACCGTAGTTTAGACAAATTAAGCATAGATTATCTAATTGAACAACTCTAAAAATATCATTATAACCCGAAGGCCCTTTGGCACGCATGCAGTAATTACGTAGAAATATGATGAGCTTGACGTCCAACCAGAATCTTCTGAAAATGGTAGTGTTTTCGTAATGGGAGACTTTGGATGCGGTCCCTAGTTATGAACAATCTTTGACTGAAACTTTGTTGGTTTTCAATTTTTGATCCAAGTCCCTAAAATTAATTGATAATTTATTTCTATGTACGTTACTATATTTTTTAAATTAAAAATTAAAATTTATAGTTGTTTATATTAATGAGATTTTAAATAAAAAACATAATTTGTGGGATTAAAAATATTAAAATATAAATATACTATTGTGTGTGTGTGTAAACATGGGTACATTCATAAAAAATAACCAAAAAATTATTGTATCAAAACATGGGTACATTCTTCAAAATGGGTACATTTAGCAAAAATAAAAATGGGTACAAATATATAAAAAAAATATGGGTACAATACAAATAAAACTTTTAAAAAATATGGGCACAAAAAGAAATTAATATATGGGTACAAATTAAAATTGAAAGGAAAATTGGTACAAATTAAAAAAGGGTTGCAAATTAAAAATGGGTACAAACTAAAAATAAAAATATATGATAAAAAATTTAGCCATAAATATAAATATACTAATTGTAACATTTTTAATATTAAATGAATATATTTATAAATAAAAAATATTTTATTATTGAAATAATTAATGATATTATTAATACAAAGGACCTTGATCAAAAATTGAAATGTAATAAGGTTTTAATCAATAGAGTAGTAAAAATAAGGATGAAAACCTAATTACTCCTTTCGTAATTGGGTGGGACGCGACGTTTAAGCCAATTTCAAGGATCCCATATCGGGAAGTCTTCATCAAATAACGTCTCCATGGAGGAAAACTTTGTAAGTCAAAAACTGGGGGCTCCAAAATTACCTGGAAACATTGCATATTCCATGGAAATAAAACTTTATCAATACATTTGACCTCCCATTGACCACTTTTCACCCTTCAATTCCACGCGTTTACTCTAAAATTTCTGCTCTGTATGTCTTATACTCTTTGTATATATTCCTCCATTATTTTCTCTATCACTTCGTCATTGTTCTTGTTCTTTATGCAATAATCGGAAGAAAGAAACTCCACGCAATTGAAAAACTTTCAGTGCGTTCAGTTTTTATTTTGAGGTGAAACGATAACGGTTTTTTCAGTGGCGTTCAGTTTTGATGATTTATTCAAGGGCAAACCCAGAAAGCTTCTCAATGCATTCTTTAATTCTTCACCCAAGCAGGTAACTGCACTATTTTTTTTTTTTTTTTTTTTTTTTTTTTTGTAAATTAGTAATTAACTACTTTTTTTTTTGTTTAAAATAATTAACTAGGTTTGTTAATTATTATCATTCATTGCTTTTTATTATTTTGGATTCTATAAATGAATGGTTATTGGTGGGAGTTGCATTAACAGTTGAGATTTAGTTGTGAAGGCGAATGGTTCTAAAAAGAATGGTCTGGCAAGTGGTTATTTACCATAGTGGTAGAAATGTGTTGTGTATTTACATGACGGTATGTGTTCGAATCCCGTTGTTAGTTAATTTAACATCTAACTTACTAACATTATTGCTCACTAAAAAAAAACAATGGTAGTCCTTTTATTTTATTATTTCAAAATTATATTATTGCTCTGCTAGGAATATGTTAATCCCACTTTCAATTGATAAAGAGTCCAAGTTGTAACATAAATTTTACCGCAAAAGCTGCATCTGTTGAAACTTACTTTTGAGAGAGTCTAAATAAAAAAGTCTGAATAATAATTCTCACGTAATTTGAAAGAAACTTTGGCTACATTGAATCATATTGAAGTTTTTTGGTTTTGGAGTGGTAATATGATTTTAAAAGATAGTAATTGAAGCAACTTAGTTCTGGCATTGATTCTAGTAATAAGCATCACAAATGAACTAAGTTACGGTTGCTTTAGAGCTGTTTTTTTTTTCTTCAGTACATTAGTATTTTTACACTAAGGGGATGGAGGAGTTCGGCTAAGCCATACAATGGGTATCCTAATTTGGTATCAAATTCATCATCCACGAGATTCGAACCTAAGACCTCTCACTTTCGGACAAGGATTGTCTGCTCTCCCACTTCTGGTGCCCTCTCGTGCCCTCCTGTTGTGTGGTCACGGTTAAGCCACGTCAACATTTTATATTACTATTCATTTTTATCTTATTATCTCTATAAAAAAAACAATATAAAATGTTGACGTGGCTTAACCGTGACCACACAAAACAGGATGGCACGGGAGGGCAGACAATCCTAGTCCCTCACTTTCAAGTGAAGAGGAATACCACTAAACCGTAGTACTAAGTGGCGGTTTAGAACTGCTTTTAAAATAGTTGAAAGCGGTTTTTGTGAAAATAATTTTTGAACCAATCTTTAGTAAAAATGCAATTGAATCTTGAAAAAACAATTGAAGTATTTTCTACATTGAATGAAACACTTTAAATGGTTTTGAAACCCAAAAATATTTTTTTCTAAAAGCTCCTTCAGTTATTTTGAAAGTACTTCAAAACGAGTCTTACGCATTGGTTTAATTTTAAATTGCTATCTAACTTTTAATTATGACAATAACAACAATATTAAAAGCAGAGCAGCAATGTCAGCCATTGGCAACCAGCTGTTTTAAAAAAAATTAAGATACACATAAATAAATTTAAACTTGGAGGTTAGCCAAAGTTTATGCTTGATTTGCGAAGAAGCTTAAAAAGTCCACAGGCTAGATGCTCCTATAATAATATAGAATAGTTATAAAAGAAACAAAAGCTTAAAGGTCAGCCTCTGTGTTCACAGCGACACAACGGTAAAGCGTCTCCACTCGTTGATGAAAAGTAAGGACAAAGGTGTTACGAAGAAGAATCACGTACGTGTATACGAGTATATTGTTATTATTATATATAATGCTAGTAATACAATATCAAATAAAAAAATTGCATGTGTTCATTATATTATTTAACGACATGGATAATGTAAAATTCTTATTTTTGGAAAGCCGGAATAAATAATGAAAAACCACACGAACACAAATGTAAATAAAATACAAAATTAAAGGGAGAGTAAGAATTATCAACGTCATAGCAATTATGACTATATAAATACTTTTCATAAATAGAGGTGATCATTTATGAAATTCTAATACTACACAGCTTGAATTCCATCTAAAAAGAGAATGTTTTGACCAAACTAAAGGACATTGCCACATTAGAAACAAAATAGAAATCGATCAAAAAAGTAAATAATAAATAAATAAAATTAAAAATTAAAAAATTAAAATTTTAAATTATAAAAAAAAAAAAGACTTACTCCTGAACTCATGTTTGATTTTATGGGGTTGTGCAATGTTTTTAGTTCTCTCTATTGAATTTAGGATCTTTCAATTTTTATGCAAATTACTTGACCTCTCATGTTTTGGTTTAAATTATCTATGTATGTGAGAGGTCCTTCCACACATGAAATCCTGACTTTGCCACTGATTTCGTGGCTAGTCATATTAGCTTGTTGTTGTGTTTAGCTAGCACCATTGAAGCATCTAAGGTTTGTCAACACAGATGACAAAACTTACTTAACCACCTAAACATGATAACGACCATTAATCACAAATTTATTTCGACATAAGAATGATTTGATGTTGTATTGTGTACATAAAATGAGAGATATACTACACACGAATCTTTTAAATGCGCGTAGATGAGTAAACCTAGCATGTTAGCAACAAATTGTTTGACATGCACACAAGTAAGAGTTAGTTGTTAAGTTAGACACCAATGGTTGGGATTCAAAGTCAGTTCATAATTGTTCATAACTTCTCAACCTAAATTCGAACTACGCAATGTTCATACCATGATGAACAATAGCATCAACGGCTCCGAATAGGTTTCAGATTCATCTAGCGGATATTGGACCATTGGTGATGGACCATATTTGGTATACTGTAAGTATTGTTGTTAATGACAAGAAGAATCACTTAAATCCGAACCCTTAATTTATGTGCATATCATGAAATGGCCATATTGCTATTGTGGCATATCATATTTATAGACACAGGGTGTTATGCTGGTGGTGTCAATTGTCGTGAAAGTCCTTCTCGATTATGACCAAATTGTAGCTTTGATTTTTAAATTAGACATTTATAAAAATTGAAATATGAATTTGAAAAATGAAAAACTAATGAAAAAGACTTGAAAACTTTGAATTTTAAGGACAAAATAAAGGGTAAAATGAATAGTTCCAAGTTTGACTTTTTAATGTAAAAATGTATTTTTTTTGTTAAAGTGAACAGTATTATGGGCTTTTCGTTAAAACTCGCTTTGAAAAAATGTAGAGCATTGGTCCTTCGTGCCAACGCTTTCAAATTAATCACACAAAAGGCATTGAGCCCCGTTAAGAATTAAATTGTATAACATACTTGACTTTAACGAAAATTCTCACAGAATGCTTCACATTTTCTCAAATTCATATACTCATTTGTTTATATTTTTTAAATAATTATTTCAATTTATTTCTAATTATGTTGGTGTTTTGGTTTTCCTGTCGAAAATAAGGGTACGTTTTTATCCACTATTCTCAAATGATGGTAATACTCACTACTTTATTTATCAATTTTGAATCAGATTAAATTTCATAATTGATATCTATTCAATACATAAAAATTTTACATTCATCTAACATTAATAAATAAAATGATGAATATCACCGTTATCATATAGTGATGATGAAAATAATCTCAAAAATCAACCCCACCGCCTCACTCTAATGACTTTTGCATTAAAAGATGTAAAAGGTCAACTCCACCTCACTGTCTCCAATTAACCCTTTTCTCCCCCTTCAGTCAGCGATCCAACGGCTATTCTTAGCCTTTTGACCTTATCCCTCTCTCTCTCTCATCATTTATACACGGTCTCCAAGCGGTTCAATGACCCTGCCAAAACTCTGCCACGTGGAGACAAATCACTGGCCTCTGCCTTTGACTGCAAACAAAACAGAAGCAAAAGAGAGAGACAATGCCCTGTATCCTTATGAGGCTGGGCATCTTCTGTTTGACTCGAATCCTCTTTTCTCCTTTTCCTCTGTTTTCCTCGACCTTTTGTTTTCCATTTTCTTCAGCCGTTGTACTAATTTGCAAGCAAAGATCTCTATAAGTTCAAACAACCCGTCGTTCTGGTTTCTCGACGGAGTTATATGCCGTGTCGTCGGCGATAAATGTGCGTGGAACTAATGATGGGATTGGTCGACAGTTTTGCAGCGAGGATGGAGGAGAATGCGGTGGAGGAGGCGGCCTCCGCCGGAATCCAGAGCGTCGAGAAGTTCATTAGCCTGATTTCGGAACACCACCAATCAACGTCGTCGAACTCGGAAGCTGGTACGGAGTATAAAGCCGTGGCGGACATGGCCGTGACCAAGTTCAGAAAGGTCATTTCGTTGTTGGACAAAGGAAGTACCGGCCACGCCCGGTTTCGGAAAGCTCCAGTGACTCTATCTCCGCCTCCCCCGCCGCCGGTGCCTCCGAAGACGATAACCCAAATTCTGAGACCTTCAATTTCAGAACCCCATGATCAAAAAACAGAGCAACCCTCTGTTTTCAGAACAGAACAATCTTCTGCTTTTAAGGTTTATTGTCCGAAGCCGGTGGTTCGCCTGCCGCCGCTGCCGCAAAATCCCCATCTGAAAACCACTCCGGTTGTGCTGACAAACGGTATTGGGTGCTCTGAGAGAAAGATGGATTCTGCTGCTGCCACCACCATCAACTTCTCGCCTTCGGCGCCCATTTCTGTCGCAAATTCGTTCATTTCGTCTTTAACTACTGGGGACCCCGCTGAGCAATCGATCTCTTCTGGGTTTCAATTTACAAATATGTCACAGTCATCTTCCGGTAGGCCGCCTCTGTCTTCGTCATCGTTGAAAAGAAAGTGCAGCTCCGTCGACAATGTTTCTCGTCTCCGGTGCGGATCTACTACCGGCCGCTGCCACTGCTCTAAGAAAAGGTTGGTCAGTGTTAAATTTTCCATCAACCATCATGATTTTTAACTTGGTTTTGGTTCAAAATTATGTATTTTTATTAACTTGAATTGGTTAATTGGATTGAGCAGGAAATCTAAAGTGAAAAGAGTGATTAGGGTTCCTGCAATTAGTATGAAACTGGCTGATATTCCTCCTGATGATTATTCTTGGAGAAAGTACGGTCAAAAACCCATCAAGGGTTCCCCTCATCCAAGGTATTATATTTCTTCCTTTATTCATTAATTCATTTTGTTTTTTATTGAATTCTTGTTTGATTGTACATAAATTCACTGTTGAATTTCAGAGCACATGATATTGCTGAATTTAGCCGGCCTAAACGTTAAGTCATAATCTGTCGTCCGACTAACGCTTATCATTTTTTAAATCTTTGCATGCATTGAACATTGTTTTCTCTCTTGTGAGTCAATCAATTCATTAACATGGACATCTTAAACGTTAAGTCACAGTCTGTCGTCCGACTAACGCTTATCATTTTTAAAATCTTTGCATACATTGAACATTGTTTTCTCTCTTGTGAGTCAATCGATTCATTAACATGAACATCCTAAACGCTAAGTCACAGTCCATCGTTTGACTAATGCCTTTCACTTTTAGAATCTTTGCACACATGGAACATTGTTTTCTCTCTTGTGAGTCAATCGATTCAGTAACGTAGCCGCGTTGTATTCTGAATGTGCGGTTGCTTTTGTCGCGATGCAGAGGGTATTACAAGTGTAGCAGCCAGAGAGGTTGCCTTGCACGCAAGCACGTGGAGCGCGCTGTAGACGATCCCACCATGCTGATCGTGACCTACGAAGGCGATCACGATCACTCCCTCGGCGTCACCGAACCAACGGCCGCCCTCGTCCTCGAATCCTCTTAAAAGTCAACTCATCCAACGGCCTGAAATCGACTTCTTTTATTAAAAAAATTCGAATTAAAAGAAGAACAAAGAAAATCATGATTTTGTGCGGCAAAATTGTCAACGATCATGCTTTTCACCGTCTCCAAGAGGATTAGTGGGTACCCCCAACACAAAATTAGATTCGTCGTTTTCCTTTTCTTTTAGTTTTTTGGGTTTATTTTTTCATTATTTTTATAATTTTCCTTAGAAATGAAATATAAAATAGGATTAGGATTTGGATGGAAGTCAATGATGCTTACTAGTGGGTTTTGTTTAATTTTAATTTACTTAATTATATTCCTAAATACTTGTTAAGTTGTTATTAGGGTTGTTTAATATATGATGGTGGTGGATTTTGATGAGGATGCCCACTTTTAATTGTTCCAATTCCCACTATATATATGACTTCATTATTCACCTTTTTATTTTATTTTATTTAAAATATTGAATGTCAGACAATGCATGCACATTTGAGTAGTTTTGCTTTTGTTTACATGTTGAATATAATTTAGTAGTGAGAGTATCGCGTAAGATTGATGCATGAGACAACACAGTCACATAGAATATAATTGGATTTGACGCGCATGTATTTAATTATTTTGTGAACAGATTGATGCCTCATGCGCCAAACCCTAAACGAACACTTTCTCAAACTTGCATTGGCTGTAATTGGTTTTTTTTTTTGGACAAATTGGAAATTCATTACCAGGGCGAAGCTAAGGGTACATTGAAAACCCACGATGGGGCAAACAAGAAGACATAAATAAAGTTAATAAACCATATAGATAAAGGAGGTGTAGGGGGGTACATGAAGAGGGACATTGCAACGATTGCAAAGGCGTCACCCCGCCTACACCACACAAGTCTTAGTTCGAAAGGAAACAAGGCAGACCATCCTTGTTGGAATTTGCACCAACGGTGATAGTCTATAGACCCAAATATAAACGCTCGTCTCTGAAAATTTAAGCGACACCACCTTATTTGTGGCCATATTAGCTGATATAGGCACTCAAAATCAGCGACAGACGTGGAAAGACTCCAAGATGAACGACTTAGCTGTAATTAGTTTTGTTGGAGAATTTCGAAATGTTCGTGTGGTAGGAGAAATTTTTCCAGATTCCAGGCTCATAAGTTGACCTGGAATTCCATCAATTATAATTTGACAACTATACACATTTAAACACCATCCACTGTTTGAAAAATAAACAAATTAAACATATTGGGGTAAGGGCTCCACTAGTCTCTCCTTCCTCTCTTTCCTTCTTCGGAAACTGAAGGGCCTTTTTGTGAACACAATGCCAGCCTTCTCTCTTGCTCTTCCTTCGTTGTCTATATGCACACCAGCAACCAAGCAATCTCATACCAAAATGTCAAGGATTTTTGCATTTAAATGATTCAAAATCATAACTCAACAATTTAATTTCAAAATTATCCAATCTCTTTCAAAGTCATGTTTTAGTTGGGCGATACTGGAGTTTTGGGTGGGTTCACAGTGATGTGGTTGTTCAGTGGAGGGCATTAACATCAAGTGGGTCATTTTGGCTGTGGCAGTGGCAGCCGTTTGGATGTAGGTGGTGGGGATGTTTTGGTTGGAGATTGCATGGAAAAATTTCTCATATAAGGCTTTCATTTTTTTTGGTCAACAAATAAAAAGACCTTTTAGTTTTCGAATAAGGGAGAGAGGAAAGAGAGACCAGTCGGCTCACATCCCAATATGTTTTATCTTTTTTTTATTTTTAAATAGCAGGGTGATGTTTAAATGTGTATATGTATCAAATTATAATTGGTGTAATTCCAAGGTCAGCTTATGAGCCCGGAACTTGAAAAAATTTCTCTTGTGATAGGACTCGTTAGAAGGTCATGAATGATCCACAGAAATTAGTAAGAATTTGGCAAAGTCAATGTGGTCGGTTGGGGTGTGGATAGGTTGGTTGCCTTTTAATGTCTTCCCTACTTTGTTTAATTTCGAAGCAAGCTTAATTCCAACACTAATTGTTCAATGAAGAATAAACTTTGCACACATTTGAAGTCTTTCCAGTTCAAAATGTGGAGAGAAGAACGATACATTTCATACAAGGTCTGCATCCGTATGTAATCATATCACAAGACTATATATATATATATCACGTGCTATAATATAAGTGATGGATGCTGAAAATTATGTCTTTCATTTATATTACGACGTGTGATGCTTCAGGCACCTGAAAACATCTCTCCTAACATGATTATTGAAGATTCAAACCAATCCAGCTAAGCAGACCTATTCAATCCAATCTCATTGGGTTGGAACATTGGTAAATTAGACCAGATCATTAAATTCCAAAACTGAGATGATTAGTCTTCTTACAGCTCATTTGAAAGTGTTTTTAAAATGACTGAAAGCGTTTTTTGTTGTTTATGAAACCAATTCTTAATAAAAACTCAAGTGAATCTTGGAAAAATACTTGAAGTACTTCTTAGAAGAAGCACATAGAAAGCACTTCAAATGCTTTTAGAAATCAATTTTTTTTTTAGGAAAACTAATAAAAAAAGGCTTGCAAACTTAGAGTTTTAATGATAAAGACAAAATAAAGAGTAAAGTGAATAGTATCAAGTTGACTTTTTAGTGTAAAAATGTGGTTTTTCGTTAAATTGAACAGTACCGTGGGCTTTTATTTAAAAGTCTTTTTTTTTTATCTAAAAGCGATTTTAGTTATTTTAAAAACACTTCAAAATGAGTCCTTAATCAGTGTTACATGGCATATTTTATCCTCCTTTTCCCCCTCTCTTTTGGGTTTTTGGTCATACAAACTTTTTGCTGGATGGCCCAGAACAAGCCCAGAAGAATATTGGGCCTAGTATTGAAGATCCAAGTCTAAACCCAGAGTTAGTTCTTCATCTAAAAGGTGGCAATGAATAAACAAACAAAAATTCCTGTCTATTTCCATCAAGATTTCAAAAGTGAAAACAAACTGCTCTTATTATTGACAAAATGATGCATTAGCTCCCACTGGTGTCAGTAGGTCAACTGTAACATCAGTGGATTTATAAACCTGCTCATGCCCCCACAAAATCGCCAAAATATCGGTTGTAATTGGGAATTCACCGCACTCTTTCTTGCTTGTCAAGTGACTTATTACCTACAAGAAAATAATAGCGAAAGAATCCAAACCCAATTGTTCATTTAGACTTAAATATTAACAATGAACATTTTGGAGGTCCACTAACATTGACTTGTTAAGCATCTGCTTTGGCTTTATTCTGTATCCTTTTTACTGCAGTGGATTGGGGGTCTGGGAAGATCAAGATACTTGCCGTGTTTTCATCTTTGTTCAAAACTTCAAGATAAAGTCTGTTTGAGTTAAAATAATTGACGAGATTTTTCAATGTGCTCAAAATTCAATATAAAAATTTGAGACTTTGAAGAAATTGACGAGAGATTTTTCAATGTGAGTTATGAAAAAATGTGTGTATTTTGGAGAATACACTCCCTCATTTTATTTAGCCTAAATTCACAACCCACAACCCACAACACACCCTAAAAAATATGAGTTATGAAAAGCGTGTATAATTTGGCATTAAAAACCCTGCAGTGAGGGAGTGTCTTCTTCCATTTGATCTAGCCTAAGCAAATTATAGCCTTTTCTTTTCTCTGAGGAAAGGATGAGAAGCTCTGCTTCCATCAAAGCTCTAGTTTCATTCTCAACCTTCTTTTTTCTTCTAACCTATCTCTGTGTTGCTGGTTGTGTAATAGTGACATCCTCGTTGCATAAAAGTTCTTCTCCTACAACAGATTACTCTAACAAAGAAACCCTCAAGTTCGTTTTAGCTGGCCACCGCAGAAGAGACAACGAAGACAAAAGCCACCGACTACTACCACCATCACCACCACCACAAACACCACCACCACCACCACCACCACCATCATCTCCTCCACCACCACCACCACCACCTCCACCTCCACCTCCACCTCCACCTCCACCTCCACCACCACCACCACCACCACCTTCACCACCATCGCCGCCGCCGCCGCCACCACCACCTCCACCTCCACCTCCACCTCCACCTCCACCACCACCACCTCCACCTCCACCTCCACCTCCACCACCACCACCGCCACCACCTCCACCATCACCACCACCACCACCACCACCACCACACCGCCTCCACCACCACCACCACCACCACACCACACCACCGCCACCACCGCCACCGCAAGCACCTCCTACAAATTTGCCAGACACCCAAGAACTTGTATTTGCAGATCAAAGGCTCAAAATAGTCTACCCAATTATCCAAAACTTCAAGTCCCTCATCACCTCAGATCCTCTAAACATCACCAAAACTTGGGTAGGCTCCGACATTTGCAGCTACAGAGGCTTCTACTGTGACAGCCCTCCAAACAACAGCTCCGCGATTGCCCTCGCCTCGATAGACTTCAACGGATTCCAAAATGGGGGCTCTTTTCTCAATGGGTTCCTCGACCAGCTCCCGGACACTGCCCTCTTCCATGCAAACTCCAACAACTTTTCCAGCACCGTCTCCTCCGCCATTGCCAACCTCCCCTACCTCTACGAGCTTGACATTAGCAATAACCATTTCTCCGGGGCGTTTCCCTCCGCCGTTCTCGGCGGCTCTCATATTCTCCTCCTCACCTTAGCAAACAACAAATTCACAGGTTCGATTCCATCGGGCATTTCCAAAGCTTTCGCTGCTCTGACTGAGGTTCTGCTCCTAAACAACCAGCTCACAGGATGCTTGCCATATGAGATAGGGTTGCTAAAAGACGCCGTATTTTTTGACGTTGGAAACAATCAGTTAACCGGGCCATTACCGTTCTCATTGGCCTGCCTCGAAAACGTGGAGCAGCAGAATTTTGCTGGGAATTTGTTGCATGGCATGGTGCCTGAGGTGGTATGTCATGACCTGCAGAATTTGGCAAACTTTTTGCTGTCCAATAATGATTTCACAAATGTTGGTCCTGTTTGTAGAAGCTTGATCGGGAAAGGAGTGCTCGACGTTATGAACAGCTGCGTTCCGACTTCCCGATCTTCCGTTTCAAAGACCGATAGAGGAATGTGCAGATTTCTTTGCACACCCAAGGTTCTGTCCCTTCATGGGGTCCTATACTTACATTCCATGTAAGCTTCCTCGTTTTGGTTCTTTGTTTCCTCATTTGCCTCCTCCTTCACCTTGACCTACTTTGTTCATCTTCTCCAAGGCTTATGGGTGTAAAAAATTTCAATGTAAACATGGTGATTAAATCTCTTCGCTCATTTCAGTTGCATGGTACATTTAACATGAGAATTAATGAGATGTTTCCTTCATGATTTTGTGATCATAAGAAATCAGTGATTGGTAAGGGGCTTCTAGCTCAGTTGGTCACTCATGCACCTGAGAATTTAAGTTTGATTCCACCCTCCCCCAATATTGTTTGTATCATT